GGGGGCTGGCTGGGAGTCCGCCCCCGCAAGGCTCCCAGCACCGATAGTGGCCCCGCCCGGTGGCGGTTACAACTGTACCTAGTCAAAGGACTGGAGTGTCTGTCACAGGTTTCTTGGTGCAAGTAGGATAACAGTCCTACCAATGCAAAATAGTGATGCATAGTAGAGAACATTAATCTGCATGAACTTTTCTTCTCCTGAGTTCTTCCACCAGAGTCCGCCCCCGCAAGGCTCCCAGCACCGATAGTGGCCCCGCCCGGTGGCGGTTACAACTGTACCTAGTCAAAGGACTGGAGTGTCTGTCACAGGTTTCTTGGTGCAAGTAGGATAACAGTCCTACCAATGCAAAATAGTGATGCATAGTAGAGAACATTAATCTGCATGAACTTTTCTTCTCCTGAGTTCTTCCACCACTTGCTGTTATACAGCTTTTATGAGATAAAGATTGGGACTTTAAACAAAAAGTCTGGCCTTCAATGGAGAGGACAGTCAGCGAACAGTTAGAGGAAGAGCAAAAAATTATTAGGGATTCAAGAGGCAATAGACTGAGAAACTGAAAGAGCTACATATGTATATTTTAACTTTGCCACAGGAAGGAAGTAGACAAGGCAAGAGTTTACAATACTCAATGGATATAAAACAATTGGGAGGACTAAATGATCATTATTATTGTTGTGCAATGGAATGAAGTTAAGATTGCAAAAGTATAATCTGATAGCAGAAATATTTCCTGTCAGTCACATCAATCAGACACAGAAATTTGAGGGAAAGTGGGGGTAGAAGCTAGAGATATTAGATAGCGAGTAATTGAATAGTGGTAACTATATCAAAATTTAGCGGTTACATGAATATTTGATAGTCCTCAGAGTCAAGGCCAGCTGTCAGTGCACTCCCAGCCCCACTCCCAGGAAGCCCCCTGCTATTCAACACTGCCGCCTCTCTATCAGAGAGAATGCAGTGCAGGGTTGCAGCAGCCAGTCTCTGACATTTCTACCACTATCTCACACACACACGCCTTTGATAAAGAGAGAGGGAGGGAGGAAGAGATGTGTGTAGTTAACAGGATTAACTGATAAGTCCAGGCTTATCAGTTAGGGCACTTCTAAACTACATTTCTCTTTCAAAAGAGGAATGTAAATAAGGCAAATCAAAAGTGCAAATGAAGCACAGATTTAAATATCCTGCGCTTCATTTGCAGATTCGTGTCCAAGCGCTTTCTCAAGGAAGGGTTTTTTAAAAGTGAAAGTGCAGTGTAGATGGGGTTCTTTCGGGAAAAAACGTTTTTTCGAAAAAGCGCTCGGACGTGAATATGCAAATGAAGCGTAGGATATTTAAATCCACACTTCATTTGCACTTTCAATTTGCCTCATTTATATTTCTCTTTCGAAAGAGGAATATAGTCTAGACATAGCCTTAATGACTAGACATAGCCTTAGACATCTACACACTGACATCCCTAATAGAAACACATCATTTGAGATGGTTGAAACCAAGCTAAAAAAATAACTAGTAAGTATTAAAAGGAAGGAACACTTCCTGGGTAGGGAAAAGGTCTCAATAACCTAAGAGAAGTCAGAAGTGAAAAGATCTTAGAGATTCTATAAAGTTAGCAATCCATAAAAATTAAAAATGCACACACCATATGTTTTAATTTAAAATTTGAAAGACTACTAATGAACTCAATTCAGAGAAATTCTTCGGGTACAAGGCTTTCAGTTGCACAGTAGGTTACAATCTCTTCCCAGGCAATTAGTAAGCCCTGGGAAGTGTCCTGGATCTGCCAAGCTGCCTGAAATCAGTAGTCCTTAAATTCTGTTTCTGAACGTGCCATGAACAGAAATGAAAGGGAAGTTTAAAGGTGATTTTCTATATATTGCTTTGTTTTTGTCATGCTTTAAACTACTAATACTATTCTCCTGAACTCTCTATTGTTTTTCTTAGTACTACATATCTTTATAGTCTAGATTCCAATTTGTAAATCATTCGTTAGGTGATCAGATCATTACAATTATTTCTGCTATGATTTTGTCAGATCTCATAGGAACAGGACACACTTGGTGTGCAATTCTGGGTTTCACTCAAGTCAGTGTAAGCTTTGTCATTGACTTTAGTGGGGCCAGGATTTACCCCATAGATGGGAGACTGCCCAAGGAATACTGATGCTGCACAATATGGTTAGGGAGGCATGTCTCTACTCCGTACCAGACTAAAGTCCAGCATACTGTTAGTGGCACCGGCATTCTGCCTACATGGGGCCTCAATTCCAGCTCAATAAGAGTATTCTTCACTTCTTGTCTTAAATTGAAATGTTATGGAGTGCTGTTTAATAGCAATTGCTTTCTATCCTAGAGTAGTGGGTGAACTTATATATCCTTTGTCTACCTATTACAGGTGCAATGAGGTTTAATTCCTTGCTTGCACAATGCTCTGAGGTCCTAAAAAAACCAAAAATCTCATATTTACATGCTCTGGAAGTGGAGCTTTTATTTCAGTTAATACAAAGTATATTTAACTCCTAGTGTTTTTATGAGCTACATCAACATTCATGAATTCATAGCTTCAAGAAAATTATGGTAGCCTTTATTTTAATTTTTTAGAACAGATTTCTTAATTCCTGTAAGGACTCCCTTTGACATCAACAGACTTTGGCTCAAGACCTTAATGTATGAGTTGACATTTGTCTGAAGTTAAAAAAAATTGTACCTGAATATAATTTCCAAAATAGATTTATGTATTCAAGCAAATCATTGCATTTCAGTAGACAAAAAGGCAGATCAGTTATGTCAGAATTTGTTGCTGAAAATATGACTACATTTTTGCTTTGGATAACATATACCTGATGCATGCTAAGACAGAGATTCTCAAAATGTCAGAAGATATTTAAGCACCTATTTCATACTGTAATCATTGTGAGTCTGAGATCTAAATGCCCTTGAGGATTTGGGCCTAAACCATAGAGAATCCATAATAAAAACCCAGAAAACTTTAGCATAAACTACTTTTAATTTTACAGATTCAAAAATTTGGAAGAACTATTTTTAAAACTAAACCAAAAAAACTTTTTTGTAAAGGCATCTAGTCAAACTTCCCGCTTATAATGAGGTTTATTATAATGTTCATTGTTACAGTTATTGTTAATGCAATAGTAAGCTTATCATATTTGAAAAATGCAGGTTACCTTGCTGGCAGAAGCAGCTCCACTTGTCTGTGTTTGGGGAGGCTGACTGGGACTAGCACTTGCAGGTTTCTTCTGTGAAATAAAAGCAAAAATACAAAAGAGGGGAAAAAAAACCACTGTAAGAAATAAATCATTGGCAAAATACCACATTTAAGAAAGGATTGATGGTTCTGTTTCTTTGTCCATATTATACGAGATACTAACAAGTTAATTTATATTCAGTGTCTGCTTTACAAGTCATCTGAAGCAGTTTTCAGAGTTTTAATTCAGTAATTTAGATCACCAGAGAATCTTTTGAGATGGTTTTCTTAAGAGCAGAACGCTTATTGCAGAATGAATTATTTCACATTATTTCTACAAATCATACATAAATCTATGCAGTAATTACTAAAGTTGAGGTGTTCATTTTGGTTAACAGTGAAACCAAATGTTATCATCAGTATCTCAAGACACTTCAAGAAGAGTAATTCCTTTAAACTTAAATCAAACAATTTGATTTTTTTTATAATTAAAAACAAAGCGCACACACTTTGCAAGCTTGAAAATAAAATAAAACTTGCATCAGCAAGCAACATGCCCTGGATCCTTCACATCATATTTAGATTATTGCACGGAAATTATACTGGGGAAAATTGTCTTCAAAACAAAAAATATATATAGATAAACATCTGTAGAAAAATATTGTGAATGTCACCAAGATAGGTAAACCCTTTCTGTATGTGAACAATGCAGTGCAACAAACAGAGGAGAAATTAAGTGTGCACACAAATAATGAAAGGTTGAACTTTCAAATAAAAAAAAAACCCTGTGTATAGAAGATTAAATAAAACTACAGCAAGTAATTAGTTTCTGCATGTCTTCAGTTTCATACCAATGCAACTCCAGCGATAACAATGGAGTTATATTGGTATACAAATGGAGTGACATGAATTTTCAGAAGGAGCAGAAAACCTACTTAGAAACTCTCTCAAGTAAGTGAACTCCTGAGACTTTACTGCAGATTACTTTGGATGATCCCATAAACATAGAAAAACCTACAGTAGTAGGCTCAGAAGCCTGGTAAACAAATTACTATACAAAATGAAGAAACAGCAATATTCAAGTCACTAGGCATGATGGACAGATTAGCAGACTCAAACAGGGATAAAAGGTCTCGTTCATAAAGATTAGTGCAACATCATGTTCTGTCCCTATGACTTTAGTTCCAAAACATAATATGAACGGAGAGAATTTCTCCCAAGCAAACAAAATTTGAAATAAAGATTAAAAGCAGCGTTTCTGTAATTGACCTCCAGTTAGTGAACCAGTGCAAAGGGCCATAATCTATTCTCAGATATATACATGCTACACCATTGAAGTGTGGCTTTGTAGTACATTTTCTGAAATGAGTGTTCAGGAGGAAATTGATGTAATTTCTTCAAATATCCCTAGCTTAGATTCAGAATAATGAGGGGAGGAGGAGGAAAACTGAATTGTGTAATTGAGAAAATACTGGCAAACAAAGTTATATAGGCAATGTTACTGATGGTAAGGGGAAGGAGATACAGCTTACTAGGTTTCTATACAAAAGAAATTATGAAAAGTCCCCCTGCCTTTTTGTATGCCTTATAGAACAAATTATCTCATATACTGCAAGATGCTGGACTGGTAGTAGCAACTGATTTTTTTCTGTGCATGTGTGCTTACATGTTAGATATACAGTATATAACAATTTACTTCCTTACCCATACCTAACTATGGGAAAAGACGGAATCTGAATCTCAGCAAGGAGCATAATTTACTTGCAGAACTAAAGTCTACCCATTCAACTTTTAGATAAGTTGTCTTGTCTTTACAGAATGGGAAGTAATTTATTGCTAGGCATGTAGTTGAACTATACTTGCAAAAAAAGACCTCAAAATGTTAGCTATTTTAAACAAATGTACAGTAAACTTCCGATAATCCGGCACCTTTGGGACCCAGGGGGTGCTGGATTATCAGATATGCCGGGCTATCGGAAGGAGGGGCTATGAGGAGTCTGGGGTGGGAGGGATGCCACCCGAGACCCCTCATAGCCCCCCCTTCCGATAGTCCAGCTCTGCTCCAGGTGTCCCTGATTCAGCCGCCGCTGAAACGACCAGCAGCTGTTTCCCCAGAGATTGATTTGTGGTCCTAGCAAAGTGTTTCACAATTGGTGCTCTGGGGAACTCTGGGGATCCACAAAGCAAAAGGGTCCGGTAGCACCGACCCTTGGCGCGAGGAAACCAACCGGGCAGCACCCCAGCTGCTCTTGGGGACGCCTGGGGCAGAGCAGCTGAGGTGCTGCTGGGTTGGTCCCACAGTGCCGAGGGGCGTATCCCCCCCACTCCACCCCCAGACTGAGGCAGAGCAGTTCTGCCTCGGGCTTCCTGGAGTCAGCTGCTGGTCAGTTTCAGCAGTGGCTGAATCGGGGACACCTGGGGTGCTGCCCGGTTGTTCCCAAAGCCCTGACAGGCAGTGGTAGGGGACCTACCCGGCTGCGCCCCCAGCTGCTCTGCCTCCGACTTCCCCGAGTCAGCCGCTGGTCAGTTTTAGCAGCGGCTGAATAGGGGAAGCTGAGGGCAGAGCAGCTCCAATGGTCTGGCTGCCCAGAGCACTTCTGGGTTCCTGATGGTGCCGGACCATCAGGAGTGCCGGACCATCAGATGCCGGACCATCGGAGTTTTACTGTAGTTTCCCAAAGTTAGCATATTCTTGGCTTTCAATCAGATTGTTAAAGCCCTACAACTTCTGCCTATTTCCTCTCACTTGTATCCAGGGGTTGGCTCAAATCACAATTATTTCCACCTGTACAGGAAATTTGCAATACAGAAGGGCGTACAGATCACATGTTTAGAAGCAGCTGGGTAGTCCACCCCAAACACATTTATAGAACTAGGCACATTGATAATTTTACATTATTATATTCATTGTAGGAGGTATTGCGTCTGGTCAAACTAATGATTTTAGCAAAACAATAATGTTATCACGTTTCTTTCCTATCTCATTCCAAACACAGGCCTTCCTGGTGCATTAGAATCATAGAACTGGAAGGGACCTCGAGAGGCTTTCGAGTCCAGCGACCCGCCCTCAAGGCAGGACCAAGCTCCGTCTACACCATCCCTGACAGATGTCTATCTAACCTGTTCTTAAATATCTCCAGAGAGGGAGATTCCACCACCTCCCTTGGCAATTTATTCCAATATTTGACCACCCTGACAGTTCGGAATTTTTTCCTAATGTCCAATCTAAACCTCCCTTGCTGCACTTTAAGCCCATTACTCCTTGTCCTGTCCTCAGAAACCAGAGGAACAAATTTTCTCCTTCCTCCTTGTGACACCCTTTTAGATATTTGAAAACCGCTATCATGTCCCCCCTTAATCTTCTTTTTTTCCAAACTGAACAAGCCCAGTTCATGAAGCCTGGCTTCATAGGTCATGTTCTCTAGACCTTTAATCATTCTTGTCGCTCTTCTCTGTACCCTTTCCAATTTCTCCACATCTTTCTTGAAATGTGGCGCCCAGAACTGGACACAGTACTCCAGCTGAGGCCTAACTAGTGCAGAGTAGAGCGGCAGAATGACTTCACGAGTTTTGCTTACAACACACCCGTTGATACAACCTAGAATCATATTTGCTTTTTTTGCAACAGCAGCACACTGTTGACTCATATTCAACTTGTGGTCCACTATGACCCCTAGATCCCTTTCTGCCATGCTCCTTCCTAGACAGTCGCTTCCCATCTTGTATGTATGGAACTGATTGTTCCTTCCTAAGTGGAGCACTTTGCATTTCTCTTTATTAAACTTCATCCTGTTTACCTCTGACCATTTCTCTAACTTGCTAAGGTCATTTTGAATTATATCCCTATCCTCCAAAGAAGTTGCAACCCCACCCAGTTTGGTATCATCTGCAAACTTAATAAGCGTACTCTCTATCCCAATATCTACGTCATTGATGAAGATATTGAACAGTACGGGTCCCAAAACAGACCCTTGCGGAACTCCACTTGTTATCCCTTTCCAGCAGGATTTAGCACCGTTAACAACAACTCTCTGACTACGATTATCCAGCCAATTATGCACCCACCTTATCGTGGCCCTATCTAAGTTATATTTGCCTAGTTTATCAATAAGAATATCATGCGAGACCTTATCAAATGCCTTACTAAAGTCTAGGTATATGACATCCACCGCTTCTCCCTTATCCACAAGGCTCGTTATCCTATCAAAGAAAGCTATCAGATTAGTTTGGCATGACTTGTTCTTCACAAACCCATGCTGGCTATTCCCCATCACTTTATTACCTTCCAAGTGTTTGCATATGATTTCCTTAATTACCTGCTCCATTATCTTCCCTGGGACAGATGTTAAACTGACCGGTCTGTAGTTTCCTGGGGTGTTCTTATTCCCCTTTTTATAGATGGGCACAATATTTGCCCTTTTCCAGTCTTCTGGAATCTCCCGTCTTCCATGATTTTTCAAAGATCATAGCTAAAGGCTCAGATACCTCCTCTATCAGCTCCTTGAGGATCCTGGGATGCATTTCATCAGGACCTGGTGACTTGCTGACATATAACTTTCCTACGTGATTTTTAACTTGTTCTTTGTGTATCCTATCTTCTAAACTTTCTCTGCTTGTATTCACTACGTTAGGCACACAGTTGAGAGGGAGGAAGTGAGGAAAGGAAGGAATGCTAGTTATACCTTACTCCCTTCAGACTATTCCTAGTAGCAGAAGGAAAAGCATTATTTCTGTGACTGTCATAGCCTGCAAAGCTAGAAAAACAGCACTCCTGTGGTGCTCAGCCTGCAAACCATGAAGCTGAGTCAGTCAAAGCTTAGCTTCTTTGTGAAATTAACTAAAATAACTAGAACTAGTGACCAGCGTGTCAGTGAATTTCAGGTGTGGCATACGTCTACTGATAAATGTCTCATCTTCATTAAAGAAGTTAAATAGTTTTAAAAAATCATCACAGAATGTTAATTTCCCCATGTTTTATAAATGTAAGTGAATCCAAAATGCACAGTTTGTCAACATAAGCACAATATTTACTTGCTAGGCTCTTCCCAGTGC